TAAGGAAAAACATGGAACTACTCATGTCTTTTAATTTTCATGGTGATGACATCCTTATGTATAAACAGCTCACACTGCAGACATTAAATATGAACATCTCCTATTAAAACTGTGAGAGATTTGCTCATATTAACAATGCAATTGGAAGCTACCAGACTAACAAACAAAAAGTGGGAATAGTCACTTGTACAGCTTTCAAAGGAAGTATGTGAGCAGAGGGATCTCAGTTGCCTCAGTTATCCTTTTAGCCCAACCACTGAAGAGGTACCTACTGCAGTAAAGAATATAATAAAATCCTTATACCACCAAAATTTATGGCATTCCTTACACATCCCCATCTCTCATGTTCTCTAACATGAGTCCTGACCTCTTCCAGGCTCCAGGGAGAGAAGAGAGCTGCTAAAGACACAGGTAGTTACTGCCTCTACAGAACAGAGGAGATAAGGACTCCCTGCCAGGCATTTTGTATCACCCCTAGAATGGGAGTACTAGGCATCCAACATAAGCCCTACACTGCACTTGCTGATGTCACACAAAACATCTGATTCAGGAGTTGGGAAGTCACTTTTTGTCAGTGTTGCCAGTTCTTGCACAGATCTCATGCAAATTAGAGCTCTCTTCAAGCAGCCCATTCATCTGTGAAAAAAAAAAAAACAAAAAAAAAAAAACAAAAAAAACCCACAACAAATAAGAAAGCAGAGCGTAAGTGTAAAATAGCTGTCTCCTCATGCATTTCTATGCTGCCAAATTTGTTTCTATACGGTTCTGAGGTCGTACAATACAACAGAATTGCAAAGTATCATGACTCACAAAAGAAATAAAACATATTCCGACAACTAAGCTCTACCTTTGGTTCAATGACAATTTGTTTCCATCAAAGTATTACTGAGCCCTATCAAAATCTAAGATCAAGTGCAGGCCAGTTGTAGCACTCATCAGTGTTTTTGGAAACAAATCCTACCTGTAAAAGAAACATTTGACAAACGTTAAACAAAAAGCCATAACTCACATGGATGAAATCAAAGAGGATCTAAGTCCATGCATGTTATTTATTCAGACACTGCCAAACTGCAGCATAATACAGAGCAAGGACACGGCTATGTGTTCTTTGTATCCCATGGAGGGAACAGATTATACAAGTTTTTAAGATTAATTCATTGTTATTGATCAAGAAAAAATATCACTCATCTTTGGCTTGTTCCTGTCCACTTGGGAAAAAAAAGCCTGAAAGGAGTTTCTCTCATTAACCTTTTGCCTTCCTGTCAGGATGATCTAAAAAGGGAATAGCTTTCCTTTCACAGGACATAAAGGACATTCTGTGTATTTCTTCTGCTATTTTGAAATTAAGTCTCTCATAGCATTATTGTGGCTAATGCATATTAGCAGAGTTAAAGTAACTCAGAAATGCTGGCCTTCTCCTTCTCAAGGAGACATGCAGAGTCCAGATTTTAAGTCAATTTTATTCACATTATTTTTAGAAGCTAGCATCACTTCAAAAATAAAAAAATATGGGCAATAGGTTTTTCTGCAAGTATGCAGAAACACTAAAAAAAAGCTTTGCTTGAAAAAAAAAAAAAAAAAAAAAAAAGCCTGCTAGTACAAATCAGTTTCTGAAAAGTGATTAAAAGCAAAAGAAAGGAAAAGGAAAGAAAGGGAAAAGGGAAAGAAAGGGAAAAGGGAAAAGGAAAAGCTAACTGGAAGCTACCATGTTGCTTGATTGTTTAGCTTGGACAAGAGAAGTCTCCAGGGAGACCTCATTGTGGCCTTCCAGTACTTGAAGTGAACGGACAAACAGGAGGGAGAACGGCTATTTGTGAGGGTGGATGGTGATAGGACAAGGGGGAATAGTCTTAAACTGAGACAGGGGAGGTTTAGGTTGGATATTAGGAGGAAGTTTTTCACTCAGAGGGTAGTGAGGCACTGGAACATGTTGCCCAAGGAGGTTGTGGATGCCCCATCCCTGCAGGCATTCAAGGCCAGGCTGGATGTGGCTCTGGGCAGCCTGGTCTGGTGGTTGGCAACCCTGCACATAGCAGGGGGTTGGAACCAGATGATCACATGGTCCTTTTCAACCCAGGCTGTTTTGTGATATGATTCTATGTTGCAGTAAAGTCCACAAACATATTTTGTAAAAGCAACACTAATGATAAATAGTACAAAGATCTTACTTGCCTTCACAGCCAGAAGCTGGCAGGGTCATGAAGACAAAGAATTTAAAAGCAAACAGTTTTACAGCCTTCTAGTGCAACACTCTGAACAGGATGTTTCTGCCAAAGAAAATATTGCCCTTATGAAGCCAAGAAAGACATACAATGCAAGTATACGGAACGAGTCATCATTTTTATATTGGACAAGTAGAACATATTTACAAATTTCACCACCTAGCAACCATTATACAACTAGAAAGTAGGTAAGAGTTTATTTCATTTTAACCAGTAACAAATATCCAAGTTCTACAGGAAAGCCATAAACTGAGGACTTTTTGAAGGATGGTTCCTGGCCAGTCTTCTGAACACACATAGTTCAAAGAACCAGGCTTTAAGCAAGTTTCCTTTACACGTCCATCACCACTGTGGGGGAATCAGATTTACAAATCAATTTTTATTTGCTTTCCCAGAGGGCAGTAGTATGGCAGATACTGCTTTGTGCACGCTATTACACGGTTTACATGCGCACATCCATTCTTTCAGATTGGTATTACTTGTTGGTTAAACACTGTTAAACCTGTCACAAGCAAGTAAAGATAACTTCTAGCATAAATTAAAGCAGTATCTCTATGCACTGAATGCACATGCTGGCAGCCGCATGGTGCAAATCGTCTTGAAAGAGGTGCAAGAGCTATAATTTTTCAAAAATTGTAGTTATCTTCTGAATGCAAGCTACATTTTCAGCCTGGAACTCCCATGATACTTCATCCTAAAGGCTATGTTTTTGAGATTAGATCCTTCAAGAACTGGCAGTTAGAAAAATGTTTTGTTTTTTTTTTTAAGACTTTAACTAATGGCTCTGATAGAATCCTCTGCATGTTTCCTATGGACCTAATCAAATTTAATTTATTAAAAAGACTTCTGTTTATTTCATGGAGATTAGATGAGATGTAATTTATAGTCTTGGTGTGGGAGTCTGGTTTTCCATCCAACACAGTACTATCTCTAATCAAAGAAAGTCACTATAGTGTCTCACGAAATTTAGAAGGAAAGTTCTTTACATCACTTAAGAAGGATGAGCAGAGACTCGATAGAAAACTGGCTTGTAAAAGGCATGGACACAGCTACTAACACCGTCCCCTCATATTGTACCTAAATTTTCTCAACCAGGCACTTCGTCTAGATAGTGATCTCACACACTTCAGTACTTGCCAGCAGTCAAGTTTTAACTCAACCAGTTTTTAATGTGTTCAGCAGCAAAGGGAATGGGGCAGCTGCCACCTTGGATTGGTCATTTAAAGGATTATGATATTCACGTAAAATTGCTGATGATTTCTAGACACAATTTCGGCCACGCTCCTGGATCCTGATATCCAAGATCCTGGATAAAGTTCAAGCAGAAAATATATTTGTATCTGCAATGTTAATTCTACCACTGGATGGCTTTACATGAAAGAAGAAACAATTTAGAAAACCAGAAGAGCAATACCTTGTCTTTCTGAAATGGGGATTTTGTTCCCTTGAACAAAAGTGACAGCTGAGGAGAGCTTGTTTCTCAACTTACTGTTCTCTTTTGTAGGAAGAATGATAACTGTTTAACATTCAGCACAAACTTCATATGGAAGGAAACACATTGAAATAAACTTATTTGCATGTTACAGAAGTTTTCACAGGACATATAGCCACATCTTAGCTGTAATAATGGTGTTTTAATGAAACTTATTTGTTTCTTATTTATTAAAACTTTATTTCATGGAGATTAGATGAGATGTAATTTATAGATTTGGTGTGGGAGTCTCGTTACATGAACTTATTTGCTTCCTATTTGTTAAAATTTATGTTTTAAGTGAAATTCATTTCATGTTAATTAGAAAGCAATCTTTTCGGCAATGAGTTTTGGTGATCAAATTGCATGTGGACCCAAGAAGACACTGCCTGAGCTCAGAGTTTAGCCACACCTTCAGAAGCCCAAGTGTATCCCTTGTCACAGTGACCCCTGTGAAACCAAGGGGAGAAAGCCATCTGTTAACTCTGTGCTGTAAAGAAGATGCCATACTTGCTCTTTGACATCACTAGCGATAGCTGGTAATTAATTGTGATTATAAAGACAAATTCTTTCCTGAGAATACTGTAACAGCATTTTGATTAATACTGAGATTCTAAGGAACATCCCCAGGACAGCGTTATTTGATCATAGAACTTACATCTTGTCTTCACCTCCCTCTCTATCCCAGCTTTACACAAGTGCCTTTGATTAGCACGTCCTTAATAAGATACTTCACTGAAAAAGAAAGCAAAGAGCAGGAAGGCAGGCACTGAGTTGTGGTTGTAATTCAAGAACTGAAAAGAGCAGGGGGTGGAAATACATCAGGGATATAAGAAGCCGAAACAGTCACCCGCCTTCCAGATGACCACGGCGCTTTTAATCAGGAAATAAGCAAGGATCAACCCAGATCCACCTGCATGTTTTGATTACAGTGACACCGCAAGAGCACTGTGGCTCCAGCCATGAATCAGAAACCCAGCACGCCACCTCTCACGCAAACACGTAATAAACAGACGGGGCTTCAAACACCCCTCATTTATTATAGTGACGTTTTAAAACCGCTTTAAACGGGAAAATTCGGATTCGTCTAGAGGAACAGGGGCACATCTCTCCACCACCGCAACTAAAAGTCGAGACCGGCGGAGGACTGGGCTCATCGCTACAGACCGGCTCGCCCCCAGTCCGCTCGGACTCTGCGCAGTTTAGGGGCAGGTTTCCGGCGTGGAGGCTTCCCGCCCTGCCGCCAGCAGGCCAGCAGGCCCGCCGCCCCATGCCGCCCCGCCTCGCTTCGCGGCGGAGCTCCGCCTCCCATCCGCGCTGCAGGCGGAGGGCTACGGGTTACGGGCTGAGCCGCGCCCGCAACGACGTCTCTCCCTTCAGTCGACCACCCGCCAGCACCCAGCCCCGCTCTCCCCAGCAGCCTGTTCCCGGCGGACTGGGGCTGCTTCTCAGCGTCGGCTTCCCCTGCAGCCTGGAGGCTCCCAGTATGAGCTGCATCGTTCGCGCTGAGAGACAGAAGGTAGGGGCAGTGGGCCGCGAGTGGCGGAGGCCCAGCATGCGGCGGGCAGGCGGCGGCCGGGAGCGCGGCCCTTTGTTCCGGCGCGGGGCGCGGCGGTGGCGCGGCCTCTTCTCTTCCCTCCCGTCGCCGAGGGAGCGCGCGCCCCCGCTTGCCCGCCGCTCTCTGGGGCCGTTCTCCGCGCCTTTTTCACGTTCCGGAGTTGAGGGTCGTGCCGAGGTGGAGCGGGGCGAATCGCACTGCGACCGGCGGCCGCAACTTGGCGGGTGGGAGAGGGGCGCCGGAGGGCGCCGCGGAGCACGGTCCGGCCGCGGGGCGAGGCGGCGGCGCCGGTCGGTGGGGCTGCGGGGCTGCTGGCCGCCTGCGGCGGCACGCGTCGTTCCCCGGCTCTTCCGGACGGATGGAAAAGATTTCCGGTTGCATACAAGTGATCGGGGAGTGAGAGGGAGCCGGGGGAAGAGAGAAATCCGCGCGAAGGGAGGCGTTGGGGAACGGAAAGATCGGGTTTGAAGAGGCCGCGGGGTTGGCACCGCGTAGGAGGGCTGTACCTCGAACTGGAGGCCGGCTGTGGCTGCGGCGCTGGAAGCACGGGACTGGCGGCTGAAGCGGGGAGCGGCTCCGGCTGCGAGCGCGGCGTTGCGCGGCCGTTGGAGCGGAGAGGCGCTGCTGCGGGGCTCTGCTGCGGGAAATGCTGCTTCCAGGCCTTCCCGACGTACGCTTCTGCACTTGGAGCTCCTTAAACTGCTCGCTCGTAAAGACGGCCCAAAAACTGAATTTCCTTGTACTGTACGTGAAACACACGTACCTGCTTCGGAGAACGTACCTCCTCCTTCGGTCCTTCACCACTTCCGGCGATGCCTTGTGCCTCTGTCCATTGGTGGTCTGTGACGAGGACACTGCTTAGATTGACTTGCAGCAAACTGAATCTCCAGTTACAGCTTGTAGTTACTGACAATACGAAATTTGTAATGAAAATCAACCAAAAAGCGAATGTGCAAAGGAAAATTGACACAACATCCACTAGTGCTAACTTAAATGACATCTCTGATGTAAAGAAGTTGAGTCTCTTCAGTGGTGTCGATATGCATCTTAGTCTGTAATATTTTACCCAAATACAGACTCACACATGAATCTACATTCTGACACAGGAGTGAGCTGCAGGTGCTGCAGCTCTGACCCGTGTTTCTTCTGCATGAGGCTGTGAAAAGCCAGAGGGGCCATGGTGAGCAAGAAGTTTTCAGGAACACCAGCTACAGTGCTGAGTTCCATTGTGCTTACACTGTGTCCAAGCTGTCACTCGTTCTATCACCAAGCATCAGTTGAAAAAATAATGTTTTGGTGTGAAGTTGGAGAGGTAGTGCCTTTAATTGGCAAATGTTAAAAACCAATAGCTTTGACTCTTTTTTTTTTTTTTTTTTTTTCTTCCTTTCACCTGAAGTAGTGAAAGCCCCACTGGGTTGTAGCAAAGACCAGAGCGCTCAGTGGGGGAAGAAGGCATGCACAGCCACCACCAAGCAATGGGCTGGGGGCTGTGCTCCTGGTGCTGCACTGTTCTGTTCCCCCAGTGGCTGTGTGGTGGAGTGTCCTGGCCTTGGAGGGCCTTGCAGAAATTCAACAGCGGTCGCAGTGCAGCAGGTTTGTGGGTTGAGATTTTATGTTAATGTTGAAATGTCTTCTGCTGTGATGTAACAGTTTAAAAACAAAACAACAAAAAAACTCACCTTGGATGAGGGAATCCTTTGTTTTCAGCGCAGTTAACAATGTGAATTTTCTTAATTTTGACTTCTGTTTGCTCTTATAGCTACCTGAGCTAATAATATTTCAATATATTTGCATTGCAGGATGCATGTAAGAGGATAGCATGGTCAGCGAAGGATAAAAAGAACTGATTTCCTGTGAAGGTGACAGAGCACTGGAACAGGCTGCCCTGGGGGTGGTGGAGTCTCCTTCTCTGGAGATATTCAAGACCTGCCCATACACTTTCCTGTGCAACCTGCTCTAGGGAACCTGCTTTAATAAAGATGAGTTTAAAAGTTAGTTTAGAGCAGTGGATTTATCATGAAGAATTTATCTATGAACTGTGAATCCTCCAAAAGATTCACCCCAGATGTGAGAGCCTCAGTGCGCAGGCGGAGTGTTTGGAAGCAAATATTGGGCTGCAAGGGAGCTCTGCCAAGTGAGGTGCAGGTATGTGGGTGCTAGGCTCTTCTGTGGTGCTGGAACTGTAGCAGGAAGCAACCCAGCATTTGCATTGCTCCTCTTTGCTTTGGTTTAAAAATAAGTGCAGGAGACATTTGCTGGAGACAAGGCCTTTTCTCAAATGGAAGTTCCCATTCTGGAATGCTGATCCTGTAGCTTTAAAATATTTTAATTTTTGTGGGTTTTTTTGGTGGAGCTCAAAAAGTAATCATTTCAGGGGTGTCAGGCTTCATGTGTGCATAGTTTACAGTGACCTCTAATTATTGCACTTGATTTAACAAATAAAGCCTTGGAAAATTACAAAAAGGAATCCAAAGCTGCTGGTAGTTCTAGTGGCAGTCCTGGATGGGGAGCTGGAAAAGAGTGTAAACAGTGATCAGAAAAGTTGCGAGTGACAGAGTTATTTAGTTTTTTAAAATAACTGTTGGAAGAAATTTTATTCACATTACTTTAAGGCAGGAAATGCTGCCTCCTTGCTGAATTCCATCTCATTGAAACCATTGTTGTAGCAGTAGTGTGCTGAGACAGCACAAGTAACATAAACCTGCAGCCAGGGGTGGAGCTTGATCCTCGAGCTTCCTTCCAATCCAAGCCATCCTATGGTAAGCGTATTTGTTACTGTGGGTTTTGAGTAATTACGTTAGCCACGGTTTGCACACTCCACAGTCTTGAAGTTTTGTAGTAGTACTGAGATAGCTGGGGTGTTGGGATTCCTTGGCACTGACGGTGGGGTCTGGAACTGCAGAGCTATTTGCAGAGGGCTGTCCTGAGCCCAGCTTGCCTTTGGGCCAGTGTGGGCCTGAGACTGCTGCATGGAACAGTGGTGGTGCAGGCATTTTATTGAAGTTATTCGTATGGTTGCAGATTGAAATCTTCCCAAAGGTTTGTTAGGTAATTAACAGCAATTCCAATGAATGTCGAGCAGGGGAACGCTTGTCTGGATGTGGCAGCACTATGTGTCATTTGCTGTTGGTAGCTGGAGACCTCAGATGGGTGAGTGAGTGGCTGAGCTCAACTGAGAGCCCTGGCTGAGAGCTGTGGGGGACAGGGGCTGGGTTCAGCTGGTACCCCAGGTACCCCCTGCCCAGCTGCAGTACTGCTAGGCTCCTGCAGCTGCACGGCATCTGGAGTTGGGAAGTCAGGGATCTCTGCTCTAACTGTCCTGAGCGGCTGAAAGTCTGCACTTAAGCTAATTCATTGTAACTCTTGTGTCCTAACTGCATTTTTTTTACCAATACTATGTTTCAAATAAGGGGAATCTTCCAGGGAAGCACGTAGGCCAGGCTGTTGGCTTTGTTTTTAGGAAATGAAATGTTTTGCTTTAGGAACTGAGCTGTACCTGTTTTGCCAACAAGGGAGAAATGCTGACTTCCAAACAGTTGGTGTTGAATAATAGTTGGTACTATACTAGTGGTATCACTGCCGTCACAGAGCAGCTCTCCTTGGTGCGCTTCTGCCTTCTCCAGCGGCCAGGTGTAACTTTTGTGCGCGGGGCTGCTGGTGGCCCCGCCGGCCTCGGCTGGCAGCTGAGCTGCTGCCGAGCTGCTCGGAGGCTGTGTGGCTGCGGCTCCCGGCCGCCCCCTGGAGCAGGCGGTGCGCTGCTGTGCTGCCGGTAGCGCGGGTGTCTTGGCCTTGTTTCCGAGATGGAAAGAGCTGTGCCCGTTTTCAGCAACGTGATTCCGAATGCCACATTTAATCTGTTGCTGCAAAGATGGTTTTGGAACGCAGGCGGTGGAGAGGTTGATACTTTCCTGAGGCAGCAGCGGGGTCATGGAAAGTTCCAGAGTGGGCATTTGCTGCCTGCTCCCTCCCCGCTGCTGCTCCTCCTCTCCTCCCCTCCCTGAAAAGCCCAGTGTAAACGACTTGCCCACATGCAGCACCGCAGCAGCCTGGCCCAGGATGCAGCGCCTGTGGCTCCGCTGCTTGTCTTCGGGCAGTGAAGAGACTTGTTAGCCGAGTGGTTGTCAGAAAGAGCGTCCAGCTCTGACTTTTGCATGTTTTGTTTGGAAGTGCCCAGGACTGGAGACATTCCCTGTTGCTTCAGACATGTCTGTAGTCCATCTTCAGCCCATTTTAGGCATTTAGGAGAAGGATACAAGTAGATGAGTTACGGGAAAAGAAAAAGATAGGAGGCATATGGAGTGGCTTTTTTTTTTTTTTTATGTAATAGTTCTTGTTGTGTTACATAGGGATTGTCTACTTGTGTAAGGAAGCACTAATGTCTAGGTACAGAAAGCACTGAAGTTAGGCTTGTCTCTCTATGGATACACAGAAGAGTACAGTTCACCTCCCATTGGGCAGGTAGACATGCTGTGGGTATGGATTCTATAGGTTGTCTCACCTTTGTAATGGAAATCTGGGTTGAGCGGAGCTGAGGAAATTCTTCAGGAGACCTGAAGTTTGACCTGACGGTATACAGCTGTGTTGTGATTTGTCCTTACTTGATAACTTCTCCTTTATTGCAGATTACGATGCACGATTATCACAGAAGAAATTCATGTCTATAGCTTTTAAGGACTTGATTACATCATCTTCAAGCCTGGTAGTTTTGGAATCCATATTGCAGCTGCAACAACAAGTTTGCTTTTGCGTTTAAATAAATATCTTTCCTATTAGAAGATATTGAAGTGCTCTGTTTAACCACAGGGATACCACTGAAATATTGTAAGATTTCCCAGTTGCAAATTTACAGTCATATATTTGCTAGGTAAGTTACTACTGTTAGCTGTGATCCTCAGAGTTTTGCTGAAATTCTGTGACTAAAAACTTGATGTCACTTTTATTTTTGTTTGCGTTCAACAAAGCACGACAGTTGAAAATGTCTGCAAACTGAAACAATTCTGGGACTGTTGTCAGATTGGGTAAAATACTTTCTGTAGTCAGTGAGGTGAAAACAAGTGGATTCAAGCTGCAGTTACTTGTGTAGGCCTTGCTATTTGTGGCACTTAAATTTTGTCAGAGGTGGCTTCTCTTAAACTTCAAATGGAAATGCAGGTCATTGCCGATAGTGTTAGTAGCATCCCATGAACTCTTTCCTCTAAAACTGCTCAGGAAATCCTTCTTCTGCAAACATTGGCAACTCAGATTCGAGAGAGACAAATTCAGCATGCCATCTCAGGCTTTTTTTTTTTAGTATTCTTAATTAGCTTCCTGTTTGCAAAGTGGACTTTTCCTAAAGTACTTGACAAAATGAAAATTAATTAAATGATAATGAAACAGCTTTCAAATTCAAAAGTTGGTTTTCTGAAGTTATTTTTCCGATTTTGACCCTGTGTGTTTGTGGTGGCACCTTTGTGTACGGGCGAGATGCTCTGGGAAGTTACTTTGGCTTCACAGTGACTTAGATTTATGGTGGTTTTATTGGTGCTGATGTTCTTTCATAATTTTCAGCTACTCTTATGGTTAAATACTTAAGTTGTTACTCTCAAAATTTAAACAAAATTTGAGACGTGTTTTTTTCTGTAGCTGTTCTGCTTCCCTTGTTAACTTAAATTCTCAGTTCTTAGTTTTCATTGTAGCTGCTCTTCAGGTCTGTGCAAATGTGAAGCTGGCTGATACAACGCCTTGTGCCAGTGGCAATGATTTGGTCTTTACAGAGGGCCATAAAGCTGTTTTTGTGATCCACAGGTCTTTCACAGCACCTGGTTTTGGAGCTGTTACCTGCTGAAGTGATGTGCACTACCTTTTGGTTATTTATCCTACTTTATTTTAAAAAGTTATGGCTCGTCTCACTCTGAAAAATCATCGATCTGGTCAGTCCAGAGAATTGTTGTCAGCACACCCTGCAGCGGTAGAACTCTTAGAGTTTGTGTTTTGAGGAAGAGGCAGCTTTGAAACAGTTATGGCCAATGTCCAGTGTCAAAAACAGTCTGTACTTCTGTAAGTAAAGCAAAATGTTATATCTGTAAATGACACACATTCTGTTTTCAGCCAGACCAACGCCAAAATGATTCCTAATGGATATCTGATGTTTGAAGATGAAAATTTCATCGAGTCATCTGTTGCCAAACTAAATGCCTTACGTAAGAGCGGTCAGTTCTGTGATGTCCGACTCCAGGTAATTCTTTTCTCTTCAGAACGGTGGTTGTGTTTCTTTATTCTTTACAGCACGTAAAGCCATATGTTTGTGCTGGGATGTAGTATCAGCTGTGATGCTCTGTTTTGGCTTTTGGAGAAGAGCAGTGTTGATAACACACTGATGTTGAGTTGTTGCCGAGCAGTGCTGTGCAGAGCCAAGGATGTTTCAGCTTGTCCTGCACTGCCAGTGAGGGGCTGGGAGGGGGTGGGACCAGGACAGCTGCTCTAAGCTGCCCATGGGGATCTTCTGTACCACATGGCATTGCCTGGAAAACTGTGAAACTGAAGGGAGTTGGTTGAGCGGAGTGAGGACTGCTGGGTGTGCTTGGCTGGTGCTGAGCAATTGCTTGTGCTTTGCTTGTTTTGTAAATGTATTTATGTTATTGCTGTTATTTCTCTCCTTTCTCTCTATGAGATAGCTCATATCTTAACCCACAGGTTCTTCCTTTCCTTTTCTGATTCTCTCCTCTCCCACTGGTGGAGGGATGGTGAGCCAACTGCTGGGTAGTGCTGGGTGGCTGGGAGGGTTAAACCACAGCAATAATTTTTCCTCAAAAATCCATGTTAAAAAAATAGAGTTCAGGTACTACTTTGAGAGGAGCAATGTGCCATGCTAATGTGTTCTTCTCAGGTGATGTAAACTGAAAACTATTGCTTCTGAAGTAAAATACAAAGTAATTGAACTGTGCTATTCATTTGGGTAAGCCCTTATGCTGCTATAATAGGGATGTGTTTAGAAGAACTCTTACAGTTCTTATTTGTATTTTAAAGGTGTGTGGGCATGAGATGCTGGCGCACAGAGCTGTGCTAGCGTGCTGCAGTCCCTACCTGTTTGAAATCTTCAATAGTGATAGTGATTCTCATGGAATTTCTCATGTCAAATTTGATGATCTCAATCCAGATGCTGTTGAAGTTCTGCTGAATTATGCCTATACTGCTCAGTAAGTATTCTGAGAATTTAGAGAGGACAGACTTGAATTTTGAAAAATCAAAGTAGTGAAGTTATATTTCTTTCAATAGGTTGAAAGCTGATAAAGAACTGGTGAAAGACGTTTATTCTGCAGCAAAGAAGTTGAGGATGGAAAGAGTAAAGCAGGTACAGTTCCTAGCTGTTCCACATGTCCTGTATGGTTTCTCAGGCAGGCAGTGCTAGGCTTTTTGGTGTCAATGGGATGAAAAATGGACTGTGGAGAAAGTGCCTGGGGGGATGAGCTTCTGTTTGTATTGGTTTGAGTGATGTCAGCATGTGTTCTTATCTTTGTGCCAAAGGCTCTCTGAAGCTGTTTTTATTTGTGTGCTTGTGTAAGTAAAATGGTGTATGAATTGTAGCTGGCTCCCTTTGTGGGAGGCAGTGAAGTGCGTGGTTGTTTTGGGGGGCATAGTGTTTCTGGTATGCAAAAAAGGTGTTGCTGAACATTAAGGTTGCTCCTGCTTGGCTTTAGAAATGCTCATTCTTGCTTCAAATGGGGATTTTAACAAGAGAATTGGGATTTGTGTCTACACTCAATTGCAGATGGGCAGTTTTGAATAGATAGAGAAGTTCTGAATAGTAGAAAAAGATGGGATCAGAATATCATGTCAGTAACTTTTGTGTGTATATGACTTTTTTTTTTTAAGTAAATATATGCTTTAATGGAAGGGGACACTTCATTTACAGCAACCAGCGCAGGGGGCATAGCAACAGACAGTCACTGTTCTGCTGTCAGAAGTGAGTTGTTGTATGTAGGAGTGGATAATTTATACATACCAAGACCTCACAAACTAAGATGTAGCGTTGTTTCTGAAAGGTCTGTGGTGACTACTTGCTCTCCAAGATGGATGTTCAGAGCTGCATCTCTTACCGAAACTTTGTAAGCTGCATGGGAGACTCGCGCTTGTTGAGCAAAATTGATGGCTACATTCAGGAACATCTTCTGCAGATTTCAGAACAGGAGGAATTCCTCAAGCTTCCACGGTTAAAGGTTAGCTGAAGTTTGTAGACATAGTTATATTGTGGGATTCTGGGCAATGGGAAGGAATTTTCAGATCAGCTTTCCAAAAAGTTTTCCAAGGAGCTATTATTTAATTTTTCTACTTCTAGTTAGGAGGCCACAGCATGATGAGTTTTACCAACAATATAAGCATTCTGCCTGTATTAATATTCACGCTTAACTGCAGAGAGTACATGCATCCTGCTTTAACATAAGTGATAACTGCAGCTGTACTTAAATGTACTTCAGAGTTTTTGCTGCACAGTCTGAGAGCTCCAGCTGTCTTATAGCTCTGCAGTACAGTGAGAGTTACTCTCACAATGTAAAGTATGGTATGCTAGGATAAAACCTGTAGAGCAAATCATCCAGTAATGCTTTCCTCTTCTATTTAAAGCTTGAAGTAATGCTTGAAGACAATGTTGGCCTACCCAGCAATGGCAAATTGTACACAAAGGTAATCAACTGGGTACAGCGCAGCATCTGGGAAAATGGAGACAGCCTGGAAGATCTGATGGAAGAGGTTAGTCTTTAAGAAAATGGGGCTAAACACTTTTTTTTTTTTTTTAATTATTATAAAGGATGATCCCTTTTTTTCTTTTTTTTTCTTTCCATTTTTTTAAACTATGACCCTCAAGAATTTAAATTTTACTGTAGGTACCCCTAAGCTGAGAAACTGGGGGGGTATTCAGGTGAGCTGAATGAACTGTTCAGTCTGGTCTTCTGCTTTTGTTTTTTGCTCGCTGTGTGCTGTATAGTACCCAAATAAGTTGCAAGTATCTTGCTTTAGAGCTGGGGAGGTGGTACTGAAACGTGCTGTAGGTCTTGATGCTTTCCTTTGCAGGTTTTGCTTGTAAATAAAAAGTAGGTAAAAGCTTCTAATGGTTGTTCCTCCCCATTGATTTATCTCCCCATAGGTTTATTAACAAAACTAGGATACCAAGGCTGAAGAATCAAGAAGAACCCTCAAGTGTATTGACACGTACAGAAGCAGCAGTCCTGCCCCAGTTCTCCTAAGAAAATCCACTGTGGGCAGAGAACGATGATGATGATTTAATGGTGTTTACTTACTCATTTACAGGATACATTATTTTAAAAGTTTTGTGTTATTAAATGGCTTTGCTCATGAATACTAATAGAAGATGTAGCCCAGACAGTTGTTAATGTAAAAATTAGTGGGGAATCCAAATTTCTAATTGGCTGGAAAAAAAAAAAAAAAAGGACTTCAGAAATATCCATGAAACATCAAAATTTTCCCAGTTTGTTCTACAGGCACAATAAACCTTGAGAAACGTTTGTATAGGCAAAAGTAGATGTTGATGCTGTCATATTCTCAGTGTACATTTCCTCTGGGAATAACTCTTTTTAAGCTTTGCTCGTGTTGAAATTCGGATGCATTTCACTGAAACAATTGCATCTGATGTTTAGATGTGGATAGCAGTTTCCTCCTCTGCTTAAATTTGTGTTGTCTCCCCTCATCCCCATTCCTTTCTTTTAAGAGTCCATTGTTGGCTTTTCTTAATTTCTTTTGGTCAAGATAAATATGTGTATTTTTCAAAGCAGAAAACTTGTTTGTGGGGATAACAGATACTTGCATGAGACTGTGAATTTATGTAAATCTGAAATCTGCAAATTAATGTACTTCTCGCTTGTCTAATGTTTCTGTGCTGGAAAACTCAATAGAAGTCCTTGGAGACAGAAGATTTCTTTCAAGCTGAAAAAGTAAGGAACCTTCATCGAATGTTTGATGATTGCTGCCATGACATCTGCTTCCTTTTAGTTTTGTCATTCTGCTAGATTGAGATGAGATGACAAGAAGTATGCTGGCGACTGCCTTTTGTTAATCTGCCTGTAGCCACGTGGCAGCAGGAGCGGAAGCCAATGGGTAATCTGTTGTTGTTTTTGCAGGTTCAAACACTGTACTACTCAGCTGATCACAAGCTGCTTGATGGAAATCTGCTAGATGGACAGGCTGAGGTGTATGGCAGTGATGATGACCACATTCAGTTTGTGCAGGTACAAATTGCAGACAGACTGAGGTAACGCCAGATAGACTGGAACAGTTCACAGCAGCCTGAAGTCTTGTGTACTGTAGCAGAAGAAGTAACTGTCATGGTGAAATACAGGACAAGAAAGTGTATCTAGATCAAGAAGGCTTGAAAGCAAATATTTAGACTCTGTTGCTGGGTATCCATCGGTTTCCATCAGACTGACTCAAAGTGAGCCTGTGCAAAAGAGTGCTTTAGGTTTGATAGTTTCACTTTGAAATAGGCCTTAGGCTGTTAGGAGGAAAAAAAGGTAGGGAAAAAAAATCTGTAGCAGATTAGTTGCAGCTTAGTAGGGATGTCTAGGAAATCATCTCCAGGACACTGAAAGAACTCTGCATGACATGCAGTTTTCCTGCTCACAAGAATGAGATGCATCTTAAAATCTCAGCACCGAAAAATATTCCAGACATAAATTCTAATAGTTGAGCTGCCAGCATCTGTGTCTTCTGTTCATCTGTACTGATAACATGCAAGAGAAATTTTGAAAAGCAGCAGGAAATGGTTTCTGATCAAGAGAGAGATGATGCTTTGTGTACAAATCAGTGTCATGCTTTTTGAGAAGAGTCCTTTTTACAAAATCCTTTTTATAACAAGAACTCGGTATTTCAGAAACTGGAATCCAGCTTTTTAGAAACGTGGGCAGCCAAGAGAATGTGAAAAACCCACAGGCAGTGAGTGTGGGAAAAACTGATGATAAAATTTGAGTTACAGGTGTTATAACTTCTGTGGCTGTTAAGGCAGCTTAAGGAAAAGAGAACAAAGTTTTAATTGAATGAAGATTCAGAAGAAGCAGACCATCCACAAGCAAATTGCTTTTCATGTTGAGCCAAATACAGCTGTTAAACTGTACTGCATGGTTGTCATGAGTGGTGTAGTCTGGAAATTTTGTGACAGTTTCTATAGAAGTAAGACTGCAAGGAGCTGCAGGGGCACCAGAAACTTCGATACTGAGGTTATATAATCTTTGTTCCTAAACAGAACAGGCAAGAATTTTAACTTCTGTGTTTGGTTTTCACAATTTAGAAAAAGTCTGAACAGTCCAGCTAACTGTGCAGCGTAGTCTGAAATGAGAAAGTTTGTCTTTTCTTGATAAATCACAGTACAAATTTATTGAAGAAGAAAAGGAGGCAGAAATCTCTCGGTGGGAAGTATCAAGGGGTTAAAAACCAGAAAGCCAATCTGAACACAGAGCAGAAATAAGTTAATTTGTCTCCATGGAATGAAGAGGGTAGTTAATAATCTCTTCCAAATAGCTTTATACAATTAATTTCCAGATACAGGGTTTTCGAGTTTGTAAGTCACTTGTCTCAGATTGAAGTGGATTTTCCTTTTGGTTTGAAATTCTTGCTAGTGATGCATATTGTCTAGGAATTAGCAGTGATTTCTGGTTGCACAGTGGGAGTACAAAGGTGCAAGCAAGGTGTCCTCTTGAATCGTTCTGCATTAGCTGAGAGAGGAGAAGGTAGAAGGAGGTGCAGTCTCTGGCTAGGTTTCTGTAGCTGCCTTTTGATTTTGCAGAAGAAGCCACCACGTGAGAATGATCACAAGCAGATAAGTAGCAGCTCCTCTGGAAGTCTTTCTCCAAATGCTACTGTGCACAGTCCTAAGCATGAATGGAAGATCATTGCTTCAGAAAAAACTTCAAGTGAGTATCAGAGGAAGTGGGGAGGTTGTCTAAGGGATGCATTATGTACCTGGCTCCCTTCCAGTCTGCAGGGATTCCACGTCTGTGAAGGTGTTTGTTCTTGCCGATGATTTGAATCGAGTAATCTGCCCAGTAGTGTGTGGGCCATTTCTAATATAACTGGGGCCTGAATTTTGGTTACATATCAAGGGGCATCTGGAATCTTCTAGTGTGTACACTTGACCCAGAAAGTCCTGAGGAGGTGGGCAGTCTGGTTAATTAGCAGAGCTATTTGCTGTGCATTGGAGGAGACTCCTGCCATTACTTTAGATTACTGTTGTATGTGTTAGTAGCACACAGTGTTTTTCAGTAACCAGGCTAACACTTGAAACTAATAACCATAAAAAATAGTACGAAAGGCTCTTTACACTTAGGAGAGAGGCATGGCCAAAAGGACCTAACTGGCAGTCTGGTCTTCCTTTCTGTTCTCTTTGCTGTAGGCAACACGTACCTGTGTCTGGCAGTTCTGGACAGTGTTCTGTGTGTGATCTTCCTGCACGGCCGTAGCAGCCCTCACAGCTCTCCCACAAGCACGCCACGCCTGCTGAAGAGTCTGAGTTTTGAGCTGCAGCCAGACGATGTAATAGAGAAGCCCATGTCTCCCATGCAGTATGCTCGGTCAGGGTTGGGCACAGCTGAGCTTAATGGCAAGCTAATTGCTGCAGGTAAAATAAACACTAACCGTTCTTTTATATAATAGTAACAATAATAAACTTGCTTGATCTGGGGGGGGCTCAGTAAACAAGTGAAGCAATTAATCTTTGGAAATTTAGTACCATTTAATGTTTTGCCTTTTCTGTTAGGTGGCTACAACAGAGAGGAGTGTTTGCGTACAGTGGAATGCTATGATCCACAGAAGGACGCATGGACGTTCATCGCACCTATGAGAACACCCAGAGCTCGGTTCCAGATGGCCGTTTTAATGGTGTGTGGAGATGAGGTGAAATGTTGAGACTATGTAAATGTATGTGGGACAAATATTGCAAGCTTCATAAAATGGTAACAAAAGTTGATTGTGTTCACAAGATGAGTAGAGATAATGAGTTGAATTGTTGCCTACTTGTAAGTGAAATGGGAATTCATGTTTTCCATTTAGGGGCAGCTGTATGTTGTGGGTGGGTCAAACGGTCACTCGGATGACTTGAGCTGCGGGGAAATGTATGAGCCAGAAATAGATGACTGGACTCCTGTTCCAGAACTGAGAACCAATCGCTGCAATGCAGGTAATCGATCTGCAGCTGATGAACAGCTTTTGTTTTTTCTTTATTAATTTAATAGCTTGCTTACTCTTATTTCCTGTTACCAATAGGAGTGTGTGCCCTGAATGGAAGATTGTACATTGTTGGTGGTTCAGATCCTTATGGCCAAAAGGGACTTAAGAACTGTGATGTGTTTGATCCCATAACAAAATCCTGGACAAGCTGTGCCCCCCTCAATATCCGTAAGTTTACCGTGCAGATGAGAATTGTAGAATCATGGAATTCCTCAGGTTGGAAAAAGCCTTAAAGATCATCAAGTCTAACCACAACCTGACCACACTACCCCAACTCTAACAGCCCTCCGCTAAATTGCGGCCCTGAGCACCACATCCATATGGTTGTTGAGTCACCAGGCCTGGATGTGTTTAACACCTCCCTGGGGAGGGAGGGGAAGGAGACTGTAGATTCAAAGCAGCTGAAATTTACAGGTTTTTTTGTTATGGTGTGCTGTTAGTGCAGGGCCTCTGTGCTGAGCTTTACCTTCTGGCATTTGCTTGCAGGGAGACATCAGTCTGCGGTGTGTGAGCTGGGGGGCCACCTGTACATCATTGGTGGGGCGGAGTCGTGGAACTGCTTAAGCAGCGTGGAGCGCTACAATCCTGAGAACAACACCTGGACCCTGATGGCACCCATGAACGTGGCTCGGAGGGGAGCTGGAGTGGCTGTGCATGACGGTAAGCGCACATGGGCTTAAGCAACCTCATTTGCTTCCTGAATTTGCCTTTGAGGAAACATGATAGAAAGAACTTGGCTGTGCCTTTAATGAATTAAAAACTGTGACCATAAAAATAAATGTTTATATATTTATTTTAGGAGCATCAGCTCTGCCCTTTCCTTTCAAGTTATCACACTGCAGCTTCCAGACTGTGACTGTTTGAAATTAGGCACTGGAAATTATTTCAGAGAAATCAGCTCTAACGAACAGGATAACCTGGCTGACCAGTGCCATGACTTCAGAGCTCGAACAAGTGAAGGTTTCTGACAGGAAACCTCAAGCTCTTTCATTGTGGTGTGATCCCCCTTGAAAAAGGGAGGCTGTGGTTGGAAATGTAGAGGATGCTTAAAACTCCCATTTTTGTCTCCTTTGGACAGGAAAACTTTTTGTTGGAGGAGGATTTGATGGCTCTCATGCAGTGAGCTGCATGGAGATGTATGACCCTGCTAAAAATGAGTGGAAGATGATGGGAAATATGACCACTCCAAGAAGCAATGCTGGGATTACAACAGTTGCAAACACTATTTATGCAGTTGGGGGATTTGATGGCAATGAATTCCTGAACACAGTTGAAGTCTACAACCCAGAATCAAATGAATGGAGCCCCTACACAAAAATTTACAAGTTTTAAGTGAATTAAATTCCCATTTTAAACTAACAGGCTTAGTGATCTAATTGTGTTTTAGTAGAGGTACACGTGTGAATAGGGCTGGGGAGGGCGTAGATGTTGCCAACAGCAACACAGAGCTTTTGCATATTGCATATTAATGTGCTGTACATATTTGTTTTGGGAAAAATATTGAGATGAAGGGGTTTCTGGTATATTTTAGAACTTCATTTTAGTTTTTTTTAAAAGACTTTGAAGATACTGCAAGAGAACCCTGACTGGGCCTGTCATTTCAGGAGCTTCCTCCAGCGTTTGTTTTTGTCACTTTGCACATGAAGCAACTTTCTTTTCTCGCAGCGTGTTCCTGAGGCAGGAAGTGCAAGGACTGGGGAATAGTTTTCTCATCGGGCCTTGTTTCTCTTCAGTAACTGAAACAATCTGTAACAAGCCTTATTTAAACAGATACAATGTTTGGGTTTTTTTTTTTTTTTTTTTTAATTAAAAAAAATATATGCCTGCTACTACCTTGTCTTTTATGATTGTCTTTTTATAACAGTTTTTATATACTCAGCAGAGCGTTTTATCTGTTGAAATAAAAATGGCAGATAAAGTTATTGAAGCAAGGAGGCAGCCTTGGACTTCACAGTGAATAAGTGCAACGACTGATTTACCTCTGTACGTGAGCTTCTGAGCTTTTGCCTCTGCTACAGCATTGCAACTTAGCATGCAGAACTTTGGTGAGATGGGAATGGAGTTTCTGAACGTGATGTAGCTCTGACTTTCCAGTATGGGAAGCTTATTTTGGCTCCAAATACTTTGACAAAAATGCAGAGGGTGATTTCTGTACAGCAGTTTTGTTACTATGGTTGACCTAACATTTGTAAAACAAACTTTAAGTGTGGGGTTTTTCTCATGGTTTTTAAACTATTTCTGAGTTGGCAATGAAAATGTATTCATCTGATCTGTTTAGTAACTGTCTTTTTTTTCTAATATTACAAATTTAAACTCTGGTAGGACACATCAAGTTATGTGCTCATAGTACTATGTTTAGTTCATTTCTTCTGTTCATACAGATAATGCGTTGGCTTGGAAGACTAAATGTGTCTAAATGAGTAGTTGCTGCACATCTAACTCCAAGTGCCAGAAGCATCACTTACGGCTTGCTGATGATGCAAACACATTAAAGGTACCTTTTGGGAAATCCTTGCACCACAGGGTTGTGTGTGGTGTCTTTGTGTTCTGTTCTTTAGTGCTATAAACTGTCCCTAATTAAAGCAGAAGTTCAGGTGTCCCTGTGTGTAGCACCTGTAACTGAGCCATGGACTGAGGGAACCACAAGGGTGAGGGCCTCCACGTGCCTCCCACCATGCTGATGGTACTCGCACCTGGCTTAAGGAGAACCACTGTGCTTGTCCCAGGGAGCTGCAGCAGCTGCCAGCTGCCTCTTTGCTACGTCCAGCTGCTGCTCAACTCAAGAAAACTGCTGCTTTGTGTTCTGTGTAAATGGAAGTGAGGTGATGTAACAGGAGCTGAGGTGAGAAATCAGCCCCACAACTGCAGCGTTGTAAGAAATTCTGCACTTTAGGCGTGTTCCAAAGTATCAGTCAAGTAGCTTGTGGGAAATAAAGCCTGTGGTGCTTTGGATGCATGGATGCTTATGGTGGCACTGCATTCTGAATTTACTGCTTTGACTCGCATCTCTACAAGGCTACAAGTACTACTAGGAACAGGCTTCAGCTACAGTCCTTCTGTTTCACACCCCAGAACATGTTAGTAGAATGCTAAGGCTATTTAGTGAAGCAGAGAAACTGAAGAGAATTATTGTTATCCCAAGCTCTAAAACGGAGTGTATTCTAACAAGGAGAGTCTGCATGAGAAATCCAAAGTAGTTGTGGTGATCAGTCTTCCTCCAAAGTTTATCAGAGCTGTGAGCCCTCCTCCTTGGTTAAGCAAAGCAAATACAGTGTGCTTAAGTGGCTCTAGTTTCCTACTTGTGTGGTACAAACTATCAGGAAAGCAACTTAGACAGCTATGGGACAACAATTTCAGTGAAAATATCCCCCAAAATGAATAACTTTTAGAGGCCATAAGCTTCACTTCAGTTAAGGAGGAGAACTGCACTAGATTGCTCTCCAGGGAGTTAGGCAGAGTGAGAACGGAGTTGATGAAAGCAATGCTGTCATTGAGAATTAACTGACATTCATTATAACAATATATTAAATTTTTATAGTAAACATTTTACAATCCAAAAGTTAGTATCAAAATAAACACTTGCTGAACTTTACCAGTCATCTGTCTCTGTACAAATACATAAAAGAGGTAGGTTTAAAGACCACAGCAGCTTTGGAAATGGCTTTTAGAAAGTTTTGTTGACTTAATTAAAGCAGTTTTGGAGAGCAACAAACAATAGATTTGAATAGAGTTGTCACCTGAAAGCAGGCAAACCACAGGTACAACACAGAGGGAAAGAGATGACTTTGTAAGAAAAGAGGATGAGAAGAATGAGGAATTCACCAAAAGAGTTTCTCTAGCAAGTTTCTACTGTACGAAGATTAAGTGGATATTTTAAAAAGAAAAACACCACTTTCAATTTGATAACATTTTAAGGGTTTTTTTTTTTTTTTTTTTTTTTAAGTATAATTCCGTTCAGGGTTCAATGCTTTTAACAGATTTGAGTTTTCAATGGAAAAGGTATTCAGGATCTTCTGACAAAAGCACTTAAAGAGAGGCCCAGGACAAACATCTACATGACAGTGAACATCAGTCCACTTCTTTCCTTACCTTCTCTGTCCAGCCTTAGGTAGTGCAGTATGCAGGAGGCTCGCATTGCATTTGTGTTTAAATCCCTCCTAGCTGTAAGAATGGCAAGCATCATGCCTCTAAGGCTTTGCATTCAACTGTGCTCATTCCACTCCTTTCAAGAGCTTTGAATATCATATTTTCTATTTTCCCCAGCACTTCCAAAAAAATCAGCAAAAAAACCCCAGACTTACTGATTTTTCTATATAACCATGTAATCATTAGTAATAGTTCTAACTTCCAACTCACAAAATATCACAAAACTTTTATCAGACCTGAGATCTTCACTTGAAACAGGAAATGCTAATAGTTAAGAGTCAAAAGATCTTTTTTTCTTCCTTCATCTCAATTATAAAAAGCACCGTTGAGGAAAAAAAGAAGGCAGTTTTGGCTTCCTGAACATTCCCTCTCACCGCTCTCCTGTCTTCATTTGGACCAAAATCGAGGGGTGAACACTGTGGTTTCAGACCTTGTGATGTCACAGCCACCCCCTGGTCTTTGCTTCCATGTGTGCAGATGCATGATGCTGCTTGATGCTGTGATGCAGCTCAGCCAGCTGGCAACAGCCCACCTCTAATCTTCCTCTAGAGAAGAAAAGATGGTTATTAGGACACGAGAGACATCATTTTGTAGACAGGAACATTTCAGTATACTGCTTAAAAATTCAAAGGAATAAATTCTACTGTTGCACTTTAATACTGTCAAAAGCAGAGAATACTTAGTATCTCTGGAAATCTGAATGTTACTTTAAAGCAAAAGACTAAATTTATTCCACAGATAGCTAATCATTATGTGCTTTCAGCTGTACTCTGCAATGAAATGTTTAAAAAGGAACAGCCTTGAGGGTACACAGCAAGCATGACTTCATTCTTCTCAACACAAAACTGTCTTCGGCTCATACAAAACACTGCTGTTTCTCACGGGGTGAAAGAGCTGCAAGTCAGCTCTGTACATTTCTGTCCCACAGGGTGAACGGGTCCGTCCCAGGCACGCTGCATCAGACTGACGTGGGCATGTGAGAAATCTGAACAGCTTCGCAGTGCACTCATTATCTACACTGCTGTTTCCAATAATGAACGCAAACCTGACCGTATAGGAAGCAGGCCAGCAGGACGAGGTGGTGGAGTTGTCCCTTATGTGGGAGGATGTGCAGCATGTGGAGCTTTGCCTCTGCTGGGCAATTGACAGAACGGGCTGACGGGTACAGATGGCAGCAGACTGATGCTGTGACTGGGATGGCTTTGCCACAGCCTGCCTGATGGGTGGAGAAAGTGGATGAGGCCCTTACAGGCAGCTGCCGGCTACTCTGATGCCTGAGCAGCAGCACAAGCACGGTGCAGGGGGTTCTGCACAGCACTGCCGGGGGAGGAGCCCATGGGAGCAGGTGTGCGGCCAGGTCTGACAGGACAAGAACTGAAACAGAGATGTGGCTGAGCATAGTGCCCTGGCACAGGCTGCATGGAGGCTGGGTAGCCACCCCTCAGGCTGCCCACTTGGGTGTGACGCTAGGTGACGTGTTCATGGGCCCTGCTGAGCAAGGAGGTCAGGCTGGGTCATCTCCAGAGGCCTCTTCTACCTCAGCCATCCCGCAGTTCTGTTCTGTTACAGAAGCATAGGACACTCCCGGTTGGAAGGACCCACGAGGATCGTGGAGTCCAGATCTGGGCTCCACACAGGACCACCCCAATCCAAATCCTGGCAGGTCACAGCTAAATCTTATCTATACCACAGATAGCACGTAAGGGGAACTCTGAAGAAAATATTTACCCACCTTTTAATAACCACTTTTGGTTTATTATAAGTAAATATTTTTTGGCTTTTTAAGAACTCCACTGAACTGGGATTTACAAATCCTGACTACACAAACTCAGGAAAAACTTATGAACCAGAAACTTTCCAGCGAAGAACTAAGACTTGCACATTTATTTCAGACTAATGTTTTTAAGGCCTTGAAAAACATCAGCTGTGCAACAGAACATTTATTTTCCTGCAACTGAACCATAAAAACCCTCCTAAAATAGATACAGTAATCAAAATCTTAAGTTGGCTTCTCCATTTTTTTCCACAGTAATTACTAACCACAGAGTAACACACAATAGTGTAATTTATAGCCTTAAGAACAACGGCCACAATGCAGCACACAGCTGCACACATGCCCAGTTTCCAGTGCCACAGGGTTTGAAAACCACAGGCTTTTTTCCTCTGTGGACTTCAGCAAAGTTTTCACAGTGATTACAAGCTCAGTTGCAAAGAGAACTGCAGGTACACTGAAATTAATTTAAATGCTCTTCCATGTTCTAAACCCCCTTGAATGGATGTTGACTACACTGGCCCCGCCCACTGCAAAACCAGCAGTGCAAAACCAGTACAGCAAGGCAGGCCCAACACCTCCCCTCGTGTCAGACACCTGGACAGCTCTGTGCCAGTGCTGCTGCCTCATCTCTAAGCACATCCTTCCCTCACCCACTCTAGTCTAAAAGCCTATAACAAAATTCTCCCCGTTTGTCTTCTCTATCCCTTTCCTACAGAAGCAATTATTTTACCTAACAGAATAAGTTCTCTTACTGCACTCAGGCCCACACAGTGCACGAAACCCTGCCCAGAACCCACCTGATTGATCGATAAGTGGCTTACCGATACAACTCCTGTGAGACACAATCATAGAGCTCCTCGGCAGAAAATACAATGCTGCTATTTATCTAAAACAAATAACAAAGAATTACTTGCAGTAATTTACCAAGTATTGCACACCAATTAAATTATGCAGCTAGTATGACATACCATTACTGTATTACTTAACAGGCTCTCAAGCTGAAACTGTACATAAAAGAAAAAAAGTCACATGCAGCATAAAATCAATTATCACTAACTATTATGAGTGCATACAGTGTGACTGACAAATACCACTCCGGCCCCATTTTCTCACAATTCCTGCAAAAACGCACATCTTCCTTCCTTCTGTAATCCTAAAGCAACCAAAAGAAGTTCTGACTCACTTTAATTCCATGCATACAGTCATTCTATATGTGCAGGGCTGGAAAACAGTAATTTCTTCTATGGGAGAGCACCGAAAATCTGAAATATCTTTGTGTTCACAGGAAAAACACAGATATCCTATTGTAAGCACTTACTCATTTCCTCTTCTTAAAATCCTTCAGCACTGAAAAATTCAAGAAGAGCTGGTAATTTCTGTTTATCCTTTTTTAAATTTTTCTGCCAACTGTAGCCAGTATTCTCCACAGTCGAACGCTCCATCTTCTAAAAATGCTTATTAGCTCAGGCTGTTTTGGTGTCTTCAGCTTCGAGGCTTTTCTCACGAAACATTCATAACAAGTGAGTGCTCCAAAACTCACAGAAGCAACTCTGGTACTGGTATAGATTCTAATAATTTTTGTAGGTTTTGCCCAAGCATACA